GTTTTTGTCACTAAACATTATTCCCCCTTCTTTTAAAACCTTTGGGTCGCGCAGTTCTTCAAAGTTACTTAGGTCTCTATCAATTGTTCTTGATGCCTTTCTGATCAAATTGTTTATTCTTATGATGCGCTGCCTTCCCAAATTGCTTCCCTAGCAAGTGATACCAAAAATGTATCAAAGTTTCTATTGTGGTGGTGTAGAATATCTGAAGGGTGGATGGGTTCCGATTGAAAGACCTACGTTTCCTGAGAAAGTACAACCTCTGATTTACCCTTTTACAGAGCGTATTATCAAGTCTGAGCATTTGTGTTTCCCATTTTTTGTTTTAAGATCGAAATGAACAGCAATATTGCTTTAGACTTTCCGCTGATCGGACATAGAGTGTGTCTACTGCGCTCTCAAAGAACTGAACAAGAGAAACGCTAACAATTGCTTCATGGTCTCCGCATCTCATTCACTGAAAATATTCTCTGTGAAATATTGTGTTGAAGTTTTGTGTTCTTTGTGGAAGAGACCAAAAGGGAGTTGAGGTGTTTATTTATATATTTATTGGTTTATCGATTCATATTTTAAAGACTTTCTTTATTTAGTTAGTAGTTCATCAATGCCCTTGGTCCCTGGCAGGGTATAGGCCACATACAAGCTCCTTCCATTTATCTCTGTCCTGGGCCATCCTTCCTAGCTCGTCCCAAGTAAGCTTCATCTCTCTCATGTCCCTTTCCATGCATCTCCTCCATGTTTCCAGTGGCCTACCCCTGCCTCGTGCTCCCTGTGGGTTCCACTGCAGCGACTGTATTGTGATGTTTCCGCTGGGCTTTCTTAAGGTGTGTCCCATCCATCGCCACTTTCTTAGTCCTATTTCTACTTCTATGTCCTTTTGTCCTGTCCTTTCCCCCAGCTCTTCATTTCGTATTCTATCCTGCCACTTATTTTTTAGGATACCCCTCATACATCTGTTGATGAAAGTCTTGACTTTATTCAGTACTGTCTTTGATGTCTTCCAAGTTTCGCAACCGTAGAGGAGCACAGGCTTGACATTGGAGTTACTTTTACTTTACTTTTGTCTTCCGCTTGTACCGGGCGGTGTCGCGGGGAGACACAGGCGTCTGTCTGCAGCAAGGCGAGTGGCCTGTAGGAGGGACATCCCGTGAGCTCTGAGGGTGTCTGCCACAGATTCACTCCATCGTCGCCTTGGTCTTCCTCTGGCTCTCCATCCAGAATATTTAATGTTGTATGCTCTCAGAGGAGCTGGATGGTTTGAGGGCATCCGTGTGAGATGTCCAAACCCCTTGGAGTGAAAGAGTTAAATCTTGGTGCACAGTGAGATGTTGCTTGCTTTCTAGACTTTTGATAATTGATTGAAAGCTGACCTTGCCTTGGCGGTTCTAGTTAGTAGTTAGTCACTTTATTAGTTAGTTAGTACGCCTGGTTAGTTTGTTAGTTAGTTTCTCATCCAAACATCCCCATGGACACAAAGATACAGACTATTACTTCAATTGTCACACAAACAACATGCTACGAGTGCTAGACTTTGACATTAAGTAAAACCCATGAAAGCAAAAAAAAATCATATTATTTCTTCTCAGGTATGCAATACAAGATGACCCGACATCTACTCAGCAGACCAACTGTGTGCCAACTGTACATCTACGCCTGCTGTCTTCTCTATTCCTCCGCCCCAGTGTTCTCTTCAGACGTCAACAAGAGGTTCAGAGCGCGTTCTTCCACTTCTCTGAGTCTCCTGCCCATAGGGACATACAACGCTACGTCAGTCTCAGCGTGCGCAGTACGTTGTGTTTCCCGACACAACAGCCACTACTTTGCTTTTGACCAGGAGACAAACCTTTGTCAATGTGCGCTGACCATTGTCCAAGGTACGGTATCTCCTTTACTTCCCTCGGAGCGTCTGTGGGATCAAGTGTCAGACGAGCGATGCAACATGAGCGCAGGTTTCGCCATGGCGGCTCTCCACAACCAACAACTGTGTCTGAAGGTGATCTTTTCTGAACAAGTCAACTTTGCCACGGCGAGAGCGAGATGTGAGGCTTTCGACAATGGTCGTCTTTTCGTCTCCGACACAGTAGACAAGTTGAATCTTCTCCGTCAGATTCACGACGCTGTTATGAAAGGTAGCAGGTTTAATTTGTACGTGGGTATGAACGACATTGTAACAGAGGATGAATTCTACTGGGAAGATGGGAGGCTGGTCACTGAGGAAGAGAGGAGACTGTTGTTTAATCCAGGTCAACCAAGCAATTCTGGAAATGAAGACTGTGTGATGTTTGCGTCACGTATTCACAGGCTCAATGACGTACCGTGTTATTTTAAGTCCGGCTATGTTTGTGAGATACACGCATAATCTAGGGATACCCACGAGCCTCAACTCAAATGGATGGTGAATAAAACATTACCAACCTTCCACGACAGCGGGTTATGTCAGACGTGCCATATTCAATCTGATTCACCAACACTTTTTTTTCAGTTTTCGACAAGGATCTCGGAACCGAATATTGGATAACTGATTTATTTGCATCATCTTGTGGGGTGTTCTGCTGTTTTGAGTGTTGTACACCGTCATAAGGACAAAGGGTTTCAAAAGTAAATTAATTGTACAATACAGAGAAACTGGTGGGGGGGGGGGTCTGATCGGAGACTTTTTTTTGGGGGGGGGGGGCGGGGGGACATACACTCGCTTATATCAGTGCCAGACATGGTCCCTAACAAAAGCCCTAGAGAGGAAACTGGTCACATGCGAGATGAAATGCTTAAGAAGAACGGTCAACAAAACAAGAAGAGACAAAATTAAAAATGAAGACATAAGGGACACCGTGGGAGCAACACCAATCCTACCACACATTGAAAAACAAATAGTCAAGTGGTTCGGACACCTCACGCAGATGCCCTCTAACCATCCAGATCTGAGAGCATACAAGACCAAGGCGACGATGGAGTGAATCTGTGGCAGACACCCTTAGCGCTCACGAGATGTCCCTCCTACAGGCCACACGACTTGCTGCAGACAGACACACCAGGGTACAAGGGGAAGAAAAAAGTAAGTAAGTAAAATACATACACTCCCAGTGAGTGGTGAGAACATTTTGAGATTTACGCTCAATCCCAGCAAGGGGAGAAGGGGACAGCGCTCACACAGACAGGGTCAGAAAGGAGACGCGAAAAGGAACTCTACAGCTTTGAGGTCAACACAACAGACACAATGTGACACTGTAGGTCTTTATTGATCCATGACCGAGGGAGGGGCAAGGGGGAGGGGGGTCTCGGCCTTGCTTTGGGACAACAGGCGGGGAGTTGATGTTCCAGGAAGGACAAGAACTATCTTATGGGCCCTGTCTACTCTCACTTGCTGTAACAATGATTTATATATGCCCCCTTTTAGACTCCAAGCGTAGAACAATATGTACTGCCGTCTGTCTTTGGCAAATTTGGATGTGACACAACACGGTGGAATCAGGCGCTTCTGAATGTTTGGGCATGATATAGAGTTATTTGTAAATTCTGAATGTGATATAGAGTTATTGGTAGAGTCTTCACGTGATATAGAGTTATTGGTAGAGTCTTCACGTGATATAGAGTTATTGGTAGAGTCTGAACGCGATATAGAGTTATTGGTAAATTCTGAACTCACCCCAGGACTATGCTACTGACTGACGTTGTTCTTAGACCACCACCCCCCCCCCCACACACACACACACACACACAAAAGGAGGGGGGGTATTAACATGTTCTCATACACACTATAATTGTACATGGGCTGTCAGTGTCATGCTCGTACTGTGCCGGAACAACATAGGGGGAACTGCTTCTTTTTCTTTTCTCATCCTTACTTTTGTCATTTTTTCCTCTACGTCTTTTGTATGTTTGTCACTCTCTTGTGAACTGCTATTTCCGGGGTGCCGTGATAGCCGAAGCAGACTTTGTGCTGTTGAGGCTAAAGAGGTGAGCAGAGTAAGTCTGATTCCCTGTAAAAACTTCTCTGTTTACAACCGCCCCTTGGCGCACATATGACCTTATGCAGTTGCGAGCGCCGTAGAACCTTACGAAAACAAAAACAAACATAGTCTTAACGTGATATAGAGTTATTGGTAGAGTCTTCACGTGAGGTAGAGTTATTGATAGAATCTAGTCTTAAGTAATTTCTCTTGCTTTTGCTGAAAAAAATATCCAGTCAAGGTCTGTGCGATTGAAGGAGGTTGTGGTGAGGGAGGGGATGGGGACATGACCAGAGGTAAAATTAGCAAATAAATGGCCGCCAAAGTTCGTTGATTTCTAAATCATTTGCGTGTGTTCGGAACTGCAATTTTCCCATTCTTTGTGCCTTTGATTGACGCTTTGTAGTAAAAAAAAACACACAGTAAATGTGTTTTAGATTGGTATAAAAGATGTGGAGCTATAAAAAAAAAAAATTAAAAAAAAAAGAAAGAAAAAGAAATCGATGAAAATTCCCCAAAGGAAACAAAACTATCGAGTGTATTCGATTTCTTGTTATTTATTCTTTTCCTTTAAAAAAAATGAGAACCTGATCTCACCACGATGCCGCCCTTTATGTTGCCCCCCCCCCCTAAACAAACACGCACTGTTGTATATCTCTTGTTGCTGGTTCTGTCAACAAGGGCGGGGGTGGTTGGTGGGTGCTCTGATGGTGTTTGTTTCTCCTGTCACTGTTTACTGTCGTTTGTTTGCTCTCTTCTATGTTTTTTTTGTGTTTGGTACTCTCCGATCTCCGGTGCACAGATAATGACTTCAAGTGCTGCAAGCGCCGTAAAACTTGTTTAGTGTCAGTAAGGTTTTACGGCGCGCGCAACTACATAAGGTCATATGAGTGCCAAGGGGTGGATGTCAACAGAGAAGTCTTTACAGGGAATCTGGCTTACTCTGCTCACCTCTCTAGCTTCAACAACACAGAGTTTGCTTTGACCATCAAGGCATCCTGGAAATAGAGAGTCACAAGAGAGTGACAAACACACAAAAGAAGTAGAGGGAAAATGACGAAAGTAAGGAGGAAGAAAGAAAAAGCAGCAGTTCCCCCTATGTTGTTCCGGCACAGTATGGGCATGACATTGATAAATCAGCCCATTTACAATTCTACTGTGCATAAGAACATGTTAATAACCCCCTTTGGGAATGGCCTAAAGACACTTCAGTCAGTGAAACTGCCCTGGGGCGTAAAACATGTATTATATTCTACACACAAAGTAAAACTGACATTTCAGCAAGCTTTACCGACAAGATGTTTACCAATAAAGGCAAGTTTCGATCCACAATACAACCATTAGTGAGCCGTGCCAAGACAAAGACGAGCAAACATGAAGACTTTGTGAGGGAATGCATTCTTCTAGAAACAAAAGACAGAGAAAACTGTTCCACGGAAATGTCTTTTCTGTCTGGAAGAGACAAACATGGGGGATTGAGAGTGCTCACCCTTAAAACTATGTTGTAAACGGATACTAAGAGAGAGAGAGAGAGAGAGAGAGAGAGAGAGAGAGAGAGAGAGAGGGGGAGAGAGAGGGAGAGAGAGAGAGAGAGATAACGCATTGGAACAAAAGAATACCCGGCAATCTGAACTCTACTGTGACAACACGACGAAGGAAGGATGGTAGTATGACGTCTTGTCTGTACCCATGTACAACTTGTTCCACAGAGTAAGTCACATGCGTGTTTGGGACGGGGGGTGGACTACATCAGGAGGACAGACAGAGGACACTCACAGTTTGAGCTTTTACCACATTGGGGACACATGCTCTAGTCATTCGACAACTCTTGGAGAGGCGCTGTTTAAGGAACTGGAAAACAGAAACTCGTTGTTCACACAGTTCTGTACATTACGTTTCATTCAGGGGAAACTTAAAACAACAAAAAATCACCTTCGTTATATTCATACAATTTTGTTAATCAATTATCTGAAACTTAAAAAAAGAAATAAGGTCACAAAAACATGCATGAGATGAAGTATGTAAATTTATGTTTCTGGTTTGTGTATAATGATCTAAATGTGCCGCAAAATAGTTTTTGGCCTCCTCGTGATCGGACATAGAATGCATGTACTACGTTCTTAATGAAAGAACTGAGCAAGGGAGAGGCTAACCATTGTCTCATAATGTCCGACACATAACTCACGGAAAATATTGTCTGTTGAATAATTTGTTCTTTGTGGAAGAATTAGAAGGTGAGCCCAATCATTTATATATTCATAATTTATTCATTTAGCAATGTTATATATTTGTTATTTGAGTTGGAGATTCATTGAACAATAAGCTTTATGGATCATTTTACATACTAATTTGTTTTATTGCTGAGAGTTGGACAGAAGGGCGAGAGCCCAGCTGTTGCTGGATCGATAACAACAACAACAACAACAACAACAACAACAACAACAACATTGCTGAGAGTACTATTGGCAAAAAAATAAATTATGAAAAGTGTTTAAGACCAGGGATATAGGACATAATTTTGACTTTATTGTTGAAAAGGTATTTATATATTGTACACATTTTTCTAGGAACTGTTTTGTTTTTGTTGGGTTTTATTTTGTGTGTTAAGTTAGACGCGATGAGTTATTCAACATCAATTCGGAAGAGCAAAACCAAGATGGACAGCATCTAAAAGTTATTAGCAATCTGTACTGGGAACAGAACTCTTCTAGGTCCTGGGAAGTTTGAGGGAAGCTGCGGTGAATGTATGCAGGTGAAAGTAGGAATATCATCAGACCTCTTTAACATATAGTGTGAAGCATTCCTTGGAAATATAGGACATAATTCAGGTTTTTAAGTAAATGGCGATAAAATTGATAAAATTAGAAATTATGCCGATGACACATTTAAAAAATACCTATTGTTAGCTTTTAATAACAAGCGGCCTAGCACAGATGTAAGGGGTTTCCAGAAATGTTGAGAAGACACCAAAAGTGGGCATGGCCCTCCCAATATGATAATTTTGCTTTCAATGGTGTATATATTTATTTGGTTATAGAAAAAACTGTCCTTGTCTTTTAAAGAGACTGAATACGGATCCAGAAACTTTAACTTCGGTTTTCTCAAAACAGCATTTATCCGGATAGCCCAGTATATCTTAAAAGGGACCAGTTCAGAAAAGGGTCGTCATCTGCTTCAGCTGTTGTGACGAGAAGTGAACGTAATGGAGTATTGTTGAATGGGAAATAACCCAATGTGTGATAATATCGAAACACGGAACCTAATCTTTTTCCAGCTTTGAATGCTGGGCAATTGTAAAAGATAGTTGAAAATAAGCTAGAAGCAATGCAATGGTGTGTTTTCTTATGAGATTGTTTAAAGTTCAGGTCAAGAAAAGAAAGCAAATGAGGTAGAAATAAAACCTGCCCACAGTGACCTT